ATTTGTTTTAGTATTCCATTCTTTTTGATTGCTACTGTAGTTAATAAAAATATTAATATTAATTTATTAGTAATAATAAGCTTTAATCTTTTTTAAATAAATCTATATTAAAATATTAAAAATATTAATTATAAAATTTATAAATAATTTTATAATATTTTGGTTAATAACAAAATAAATTAATTAATTTAAAATTTTATTTATAATCAAATTTCTCTATAGTTATCACTCTTAGAAAAGTAAAATTTGGTGATTATAAAGAAAATATGATTATGGAGAGATTTTTTTATTATATTTATATATAAGTAAAAAAGCAAAATAAAGTAATTATAAAAAGATATAACTATAAATGAATATTAATAAAAAATATTAAATACTTATTAAAACATTCATTGAATTTGATTTTAACAAAATTAATATAAAAAAAATTGAATATTCAAAAAACTTTTATTAATTTTAATTACTACTAATAATTTTAGAAAAATACTAAAAAAATCAGTTAATTTTGAATACTTATATTTTTTATAATATTTAATTAAGTTTTGTGATTCAAATACAAAAAATATTTATTTTAACTAATTTAAATTCACAAAATTCTGAATATAAATCAATAAAATGTAATTATCTTATAATTTATCTGATATTTTGTGATTTTTTATGTATTAAATTTGAATATTAATTATTGTATTTTATTATTAAATATGATATAATTATTTTAATTAGTATTATATAATTATAAAAGTATTATTTAATATGTTAAGAATTATATTATTAATTTAAGATATAAAATATAAAATAAAATCTATAATTTTTTAATTATATTATACTTTTTTGTTTAATTATATTTTTTATTAATTATAAAATTAGCTAATTAATATAAATAAAAATTAAAAGAAAAAATTAAATAAAAAGAGAAATAATATTTAAGTTTTATATATATCTGAAATCAGTAATTATAATTATATCAAATTGTATTTGATCCAAATTGGAATAAGAATTTTACTAAAATTAGAATTAAAGTTAATATTAATACTAATAAATAGATTAATATTAACCAAAATAATTATATAAAGTATAATTTAATACAAGTATTAATTTCAGATATAATATATATATTTACTAATATAAAAAGAAAACTAAATTAAAACTAAAGAAATAATTATAAAAATAATATTATAATAAAATAAAAATATAAAACTAAGTTCTAATAAAGATAAATTATAGTAAAACAGTATAAAACAAAATAAAATAATAAAATAATTATTATAAATTATTCAGGTATAATTATTAAAGTTAAAGTATATTTTAAAAACTTAATTTATTAATATAAAATATTTTTTGAAAATTCAAAGTTTAATATAATAATTATTTAAAAAAATAATTAATTAAGACAAAAAATAAATTAAAAAATAAAAAATAAAATAAAGATAAAAAATAAAAAAATACTAAAATAATAAAATAAAGATAAAATATAGAATAAAATATATTAATTTTATTAAATAACTAAATAAACTCAAAAATCCTTTTTTTTAACAAAAGTAAATATAATTATAACTTTTATAGATAATTTATAAACAAATAGAATATTAATAATTTATTTTATTAAATTAATTTAATAAAACTTTGTAATTAAAATGAGAAATTATCAATAAACTAACAAATATAACTTTGTAATTAAAACAAGAAATCATAAATAAACTAATAATATAACTTTATAATTAAGATAAAAAATTATAACATAATTTATAAATAAACTAAATAAAAATCAAAGAATATTTAATTTTTTCAAAAAACTTAATTATTCAAAGAGCTTGATTAGTAAAAACTTGATTTTGAGCAATAAAACTTGATTAAGAGCTCAATATTTTTTTTAAACTAAAATATATAATTCTTTTATAAATAATTATTAAATAGTTAAACTACTAATAAAATTAATAATAAAATTAATTTTTCAATCGATTTTTGAATTAATATTTGAACTAATATTCAAATTAAAATAAATCTTCAAACAGATATTTGAACCAATATTCAAACAGATCTTCAAACAAATATTCAAAAGCCAATAAAATATAATATATAATTGTCCAATAAGAATATGATAAAATATTATCCAATAATATAAAAGAATACAATTATCCAATAAGCTTTTTAAATAGTAAAATTATAAACACTTGTTAAAAAATTTCCTAAAGCTTATGACCGCAAATTCGATATTGATTAATATATGAAACATAGTTTTCCGCTTCGATAGAGATTACTTCTACAAGAGCATCATAATGTTCAGGTGTGATATTCATCGAGGAAGACATAAGGATCCTGATAGAGCTGTATGCTCTTATAAAACTAATTAGCAACTTAGAATGTAAAAATTCAAAGAGATTGGTTGAGATGAGAGATAATTTTTAGAACAATTTCT